GAAAATACAGTAGATTTTTCATAGATTTTGAAGTAGAATTACACTTAATTGCTTTCACGAACCAATCGCAATGATTGACCACGGCACCGTTAATTATTCTTTCACGATCATTTTTCTCAATATACGGATTGACACCCGTGATATGGTATCCCTTAAGAAAAGATTAATCTTAAAATGAAAATACTCGAAAGTCATGAACATTTCAGTACATATTATAATCAACTTTAGTGGTGAGATCGGAGTATCGCTGGTGTTATTGCTCCCGGTAATCTAGACAATTTTAAAATAAAATAAAAAGAGAGTAATCGATTTTGCAACACTTTTCGTTAGAATAACGCGGAATACAGGTTGTCAATTAAACTCCATTTAACGTCAAATATGAATCAAATTACAATCGTTGTTATAATTTTAATTTGGGCTTTTAATTAATTATGATATTTTCTCTACCTAAAACGAAATATTTAAAAGTATAAAAGGTTTAAACATTAAAGGTTTCATCACAATTGAATATCTATGAGGTGTAATTTGGGTTATAATTCTCATACAATTATCTAAATAATTATTATGTATTATGAAGTCATTTATAATACAGTTTAATAGTGTATGCATAAAGCATGTATGCATTCTATAGAAATCTTTTTTTTTACAATAGGAAGTTAAAAAATGACAATAACACTTTCTAAATTTGGTGCGTGTGAATTGCTTTCAAGAAGTTGAAATAATCATAAAAGATGATTTCTTTTTATTACAGCGGATGACTTAGGTTGGGCCTCGATGGTGCAGATTGTGAAGAAGGAATCCGGTCTAGATTATCCCGACTAAAAAAGCTTCTACTTCTAATTTGAAAATGGGTTCATAGACCAAAATGTTGTGTTTAGCACCAGTGCTGCCAAAAGCTTAGCTAGAAGTCTACAATGCACAGGTGTAGCTTTATCGAGAGAAAAAAGCAAAAGATTCCTCCGTACTGCCTACTGGTGCTAAGGACAATCTTTAAATTTCAGCGCAGTGTATGCTTTGATGAGTGTTGAAAACCTCATTGTTAACTTAACATGAAAAACAACAATGAAAGCTTCTGGGTGTGCCGAGTATGTTTAGCGATTTTGCATCATGGATTTATACACCATATCCCTTCTTTTCCGTTCTAAATTTGGAACGAAAATTTCTGACGACCTTAGATAACCGATTTAACTTACTTTTTTTCAAATGCACGACATGGAAGTTGAAATATAAATGAATGATATTATAGACCACTAGGCCAGCAGCTTTGACAGCTGCAAAGATTATTTTACAACCATTAAAGATACTAGTATTTTCATGTTTTTACTATTGTTCCTGGATAGACTTGAAAGATGTCGTCTTATGTAATGCTCCTACTTTTGCTTTCTGTGGTAATGGGAAGACCATCTATAGGTAGGTGGATATTATTTTAAGCATTTTTTACTCCTACATTCTATTGATTACAGACTAAATCTCATATTGTTTAGGGCTGTCAGAGACTCTAACTATTATGAATAAATGTTTCTTTTGTCAAAGTATATGTGGTGTTAAAAAAAAACTAAACACTGTTATGCAATACTTTCCCATATACCCACAACAGAAAACTAGAGGCTCTAAAAGAGCCTGTGTCGCTCACTTTGGTCTATATGCATATTCAACAAATGACACTCTCCAACATTGTAGGCGATAATAGGATTCATGACAAAAATCTCTGTTTTGTTGATCTTGTATTGCTGATCATTTACTCCGTTTAGTTTCTCTCTATCTTTAGTTTTTGCTCAAAACACAAAAGAGGGTAAAACAAAATCCTAAATTAAGGGCAATCACTCCTATAAAGAGTTACAGTCTACTAACTCTATCGGCAAAATTTGACGTGTTAGTAGATCATGTCTTGCTAATGTATTTTGCTTATTAAAGTTTATATCTATCTATTATAATTTTTATCATATAAGGGACAACGCAAAAAAAACAATATGGTAAAAATCATCATTAAAGGGCAATAACTCCAATAAGGAGTCATCGGACGATTTCCACCATATTGTATTACTAGTAATTGTAGATCTTGTCTTGCTGATCATTTTTGCCTATTTAAGTTCCTATCTATCTATTATAATTTTTAAGATATAAGGCAAAACGCAAAAATTTGGTAAAAATTTGTCATCAAAGGGCCATAACTCTAATAAGGAGTCGACTGACGATTTCATTCAATAGACAAATTTTTAGAACATGTCTAGCTAATCAGTTTTGCATTTTAAAGTTTCTCTCTATCTATTATAGTTTTTTCAAGATAAAAGGCAAAAATGAAAAAAATGGTAAAATTTGTGAATTAAGGACAATAACTCCTATAAGAAATCGTCTGACAGTTTTGACATAAATGGACAATAGGTAGAGCTCAACATTCTGAACATTTTTGCCTTGTCAGATATTCTTTATTTATAACGGTTTTCAAAATAATAGACAAAACTTGCATTTTACCCCTACGTTCTATTTTTAGCCATCTTGGTTGGCGAGCGGGATCATCGGACACATTTTTTAAATTAGAAACCTCAATGATGATTGTGGCCAAGTTTGATTAAATTTGGCCCAATAGTTTCAGAGGAGAAGACTTTTGTAAAAGTTAACGAGGACGACGACGGAGACGACGACGGACGACGACTGACGACGGACACTGACGACGGACGCCAAGTCATGGGAAAAGCTCACTTGGCCTTTTAGGCCAGGTGAGCTAAAAATGGTTGCAGATTCACACTATGATGAATTAAGGCAAAATGTTTTTACCTACTGAATAAAAGCCTACAAACTATTGTTTCATTTTTGAAATACATAAACATACAAAACACATACACATACACAAAAGAAAACACAACATAAGAAGCAAAAATATATAGCAATATAAAATTTCCAGAAAAGTATTTTAGTAGCAAATTTGAATTGCAACTGTAATTTCCTCTTTAACTTCAATTAGCAAAAGGCTTGAATTAGCAGAGTGGTGAATAAACCAAATGAAAATACAGCATCTTTGTATCAATGTTAATAGTTCCTCTGTACAAAAATCTGTCAATGGTAATACTTATAATTTGACCATCTTTGCATTCTTGGAAATAACACAAGATAAAAGTAATACGATATTTGAATATACATCTACCATTATCAAACTGTTTATTATAGTAAGAACTCGTCACAGGTACCATGTTTAAATCATGTATTCCAACACGCATTTCGTCTACACAAGACTCATTAGTGTCGCTCTAATCAAAATCAATCTATTGATTTCGACATGTGGCAACTTGGCTTAAAATAACCAATCGGAGAAACAAAAAAAGTCCAATAAAATAAAGTATTTAATGTTTTTTTCACAGAAAAAAGACAGACTTCCAACACTAATCAACAGCTATCACCAGACCAGTTTATCAATCCCAATTTTACATCCAGTGGAACTAATTTTCAACCACAGCAATTCGTGAATCCATCATTTCAACAGAATGGCAACAACACCAACCCAAATTTCATGCCAAGTTTCATCGATCCTTCACAGTTCTTGAAAGGAACCGGAGGTACAGGTAGTGGTAGTTCATCTGGGAACAGTTCATCTACTTCCGGTGGAATTTTTTCTCCTCAGCAGTTTATCAATCCTTTCAGTTCTGGTGGAAATTCTTCAAGTTTTAGCTTTATTGACCCCGGAAAGTTTATCGGAAAAAGGACAGTTAAGTGATAACGTTCAATCGTATGTCATAAAAACGCTAAATACTGAACTCTGTCTTATTACTGACTGATATCAAAATTTTAAAGTAATCTTTTTCATAAATTAAGCCATAATGAATTAAACAAAGGGACTAGACGAGATTTTCGTTCAAGTGGTCATTGTGAACCTCCGGATAGCACAGATGTATAGGAACACACATATTTACTTCGATTCAAAAACTCATAAAAAATACCTTATGAGTTTGTTACGCCAGATGCGTGTTTTGTCTACAAAGGACTCATCAGTGACACTCGAATAAAACAACAATAAAAGTCCAAATAAAGTATGAACATTGAATTAGGGGATTGATTTCAGAAGTTAGATTTCCAACCAACATCTGCACCTACCTCAGCTAGTTTCCTGTAGTAGCGACCCTGCATTCCAAATTATGTGCCGCGTTTTATTTCCTTGTTCATGCTAGTGGTCATCCTGTTGGCAGCTGCACTGTGGAGGTTTTTCATTATGTGCTTTAGTTTTATGACATATGGTATAGATAGCCTTTTTGCATACGTTAAACTAGTTTAACCCCACCAATAGTGTGCCTGTGCCAATTCAGGCTATCATAGACCATGTGTTCTTCAAAGATGTTTGTCTTGGTTTGTAAATCTGGGTTTTTGTCGTCGGAGTCGGGTGCTGGTGGTTGATGTGAGCTGTCGTACTGTGTGGTATTTTTGGCGATTCCTGTTATCCTCATAATGTTTATGTTTGATGTAGTTTGGTTGCTGCTTCATTCACGTATAACCCTATTTTTTTTTTATTCATTTTCAACAATCAAATAATCTAATAATAGTATTAAAATATAAGAAATGCCAACCCTTTTCAATGAAATTATCTAAGTTGTCTTTATTCTTCTTACCACAACTAGTCTTCTTAACAATAAAACATGATCGCATTTGCACACAAAGAAATGTGAAAGAGAAAACAAGTCAAGTAGCACGCGAGTAACAAGAAAAAAACAACCAGAGATACAACTTACGGGTTTCAACAATAGACAAATGTGAATGCAATATGTCATTCCTTTCCGAGTCAGGATTTTTTTAAATAAATATTTTTACTGGATTTTTTTTTAATTTAAAAAGAAAAATTGCAATTAAATTGTTGCTGTGTAAACCAAATTATATCTTCATGTCGTGAAAGGTCATCTATCAGTTATCTATATTATTAGTGTCATACGTCCAAGATTAAGGTTCCGTGGGATGACAGATGTTTCGTTAATATAATTTAAGACAAAGTTTAAAATTGTTCACCCTCTTTTATCACCATGAAGACGGCTACATTTGTACTGCTGGTAGTATGTACCGTGCAGGGATCTCCAGTTTATAGAGGTGAGTCTTCGTACATTTATTGCTGACGACAACATAAAAATAGTGCTGATATTAAATTGTCCAGTCTTTCAGATGCATTAGTCAATGCTTCTTGTATTGTCTAGTTATGGATGATATATAAAAGGAGATCTAGTGTATATGTCGATGAGATAAAAACACAACCAAACAAACACAACCGACGTTGTTTTACTTAGTTTGGGGTCGTAAGTCATTATTTATTGCCATTTCACTGGACTGAGACATCGGCCTTTTCGAACTACATGTATTTGGAACTTGCGTCTATGATGAAAATGGTATAAAAGCTTTATGGGTGCAAGATACCTCACAATCATTTACAGAATCGGCAAGGTTTAAGTAAAAGCTAAATATCCATTTGGAAAATTTATATTATTTAAAGTTAAAATTGTTTTTAGACTATGTAAGACCATTAAGTCTGTGCCTTTTAGACACTATAAGACTATTCTAAGTATTTCCGTTCCTTTCAGACTGTGTAAGACTTTTTCGTATTACCGTTCCTTTTGTTCCTTTCAGACTGTGTAAGACTTTTTCGTATTACCGTTCCTTTTATTATATGTCAAAATGTTTAATAATATCTTTCCTTGCAGAATATGTAAGGCGAGCAAGTAGTCTCGGAAACTTCGACCCAAATGCCCTGTATCAACAACAGTCACAGTCGGCACAATCGTACCTGAAGGGTTCCGGAAGTGTAGCATCTCCTGGTGGATCTGTGCAGACAGGAGGGTCAAGTAGTGGATCTACGGGTAGTTTTGATCCAAATGCTTTATTCAAACAGCAATCACAACAAACAAGTCAGGCATTATCAAGTAGTTCACAGCAATCATCTGGTAGTTCATCAGGTCAACAGTCAAGTGGAGGAAGTGCAACTTTTGACCCGAACGCTGTTAATACAATGACATCACAACAAAAGTCCCCACAAACGATGAGTGGACAACAGTCTGGTAGTGGTTCAACTGGAACATTTGACCCAAATGCCCTGAACAGTAAGATACCTCAGCAACAGCAAAGTGGTGGAGCACAACCGCAAAGTTCTGGTGGATCACAACAGTCAGGGAGTGGTTCAACTGGAACATTTGACCCAAATGCCCTGAACAGTAAGATACCTAAGCAACAGCAAAGTGCTGGAGCTGGTGGAGCACAACCGCAAAGCTCTGGTGGATCACAACAGGCAGGAAGTGGATCAACTGGAACATTTAATCCGAATGCCATGAACAGTCAGATGTCTCAGCAACAGCAAAGTGCTGGTGGTGGTGGAGCACAACCGCAAAGTTCTAGTGGAGGTGGAATGTCTTCGGGTAGTGGTGGATTCAATCCTTCAGCTTTGAACAATCAAATGTTACAACAGAATCTGAAACAAATAGCCAACAGTAAACCAACTGGCAGTAGCAGCTCTATGTCTGGAGGCAGTAATTCCATGGGAGGAGGCAGTAGTTCAATGGGAGGAGGCAGCAGTTCTATGGGTGGAGGAAGTAGTTCTATGGGCAGTGGCGGAAGTAGTTCTATGGGCAGTGGCGGTAGTAGTTCTATGGGCAGTGGCGGTAGTAGTTCTATGGGCAGTGGCGGTAGTAGTTCTATGGGTAGTGGTGGTAGTAGTTCAATGGGTAGTGGCGGTAGTGGTGGTAGTAGTTCTATGGGCAGTGGCGGTAGTAGCTCCATGGGCAGTGGCAGCAGTTCTATGAGTGGTGGTTCAAGTGGAGGATCAGGAGGGTTTGATCCAAATGCACTTAACAGTCCAGATAAAAATAAGATTGATCCGTCAATGTTTATGAGTGGTGGAACAAATGCTCTAGCAAATAAGATGAGTGGAGGCTCTGGTGGAAGTTCTAGCAGTGGATCACAAATGAGTTCAGGTGGTTCACAGATGGGTTCGGGTGGTTCACAAATGGGTTCAGGTAGTTCACAGATGGGCTCTGGAGGATCACAGATGGGTTCAGGTGGTTCCCAAATGGGTTCAGGTAGTTCACAGATGGGATCAGGTGGTTCACAGACGAGTTCTGGAGGATCACAAATGGGTTCTGGAGGGTCACAGATGGGATCAGGAAGTTCACAGATGAGTTCAGGTGGTTCTGGTGGTTCATCAAGCAGTAGCTCTCAGAGTGGAAGTTCAGGTGGTTCTGGTGGTTCATCAAGCAGTAGCTCTCAGAGTGGAAGTTCCGGCGGTGGATCGTCAGGAAGTTTTGACCCAAATAAGCTGAACCAGCAGATGATGTCTCAATCAAATATGATGAACCCATCTCAGTTTATGAGTGGAACAAATGCAGGTGCTTCTTCCGGGTCAATGGGAAAAGGACTTCAGTACAATCTGTTCAATCCAAATCAATTTGTTGGAAAATAAAACTTTGATGAAAGTATTAGGGTTATTACTATGTCATAAATCATTATTCAAATGGTTGAAAATACATTTTTTATACGTTACTGATTGGGCAATACGTCAATTGCGAAGTCGCTGAGATTAAACAATGCCTTGTGTATCATTTTGTCTGCTCACATGCAGTACATATAGTTAACTTAATAACAAGCTGATAGATCTGCTGCAACAGGAACCAAAAACTTATTTCTGCATAGTTAAAATAGAATTCTTAATTATTTACGAAGGTCAAATTTCAGGTTCTCGTCGCTATATAGCCGCTGACGTAACGTTAAACAACAATCAATCAATTTATCAATCAAAAATCATTTTTGAAACAAATCGATTAGAATATGAGCTGAAAAGGCAGATATTTCAGTTTTACCCACTGTTCCATATACCGCATCTAAACATTCTTAAATATACGTTTTAAAAATGCGATAATATGTAAATGACAATTTTTACTGAGGCTTTTTTGTTGATCAATATGTAAATTATATGTCTGCATTGATAATTGACAAATAAATGTCATGTTTACATTTTAAATGGCATTAAATGAACATGTAGATCGGATAAATCATAAGGATAAGTACTATGGCACATGCTTCATAAAGGACCTTTAAACAGTTAAATAAATTTACTTTTCATTCTAATTTTTGATCATAAATCCATTTACAGGAAAATATTGCTGTAATTAATACAGCTAGGCGACTATGTGGTCACGATCGAAACACAAACTCTCTTTTATACCTTATACAATTCTTTAATATATTGCGAATTAAAAATCCGTTTTGATTTCAATCAAAGCTCTTCATAAAACGTACACTCACTGTAAATAAACAAGTTGATGTGAAAACCAAAACTTATGTGTTCAATAGAAATGAAATATTTATATTTATGCAATAAAGTGATTCGATTTTGGGTCGTCTGACATTTAGAAAAATATAAACACCCGATACACACAAGGAAAATAGTAAACATTCTAATGAAGCTAAATTAAATTTTCTTTGTATTTTATATTTTTTTGTCATGAAAAAAATAATTTCCGAGTGATTAACCTCCGGCCATTGAACGCGTTTGTTCAATATGAATAAAGGAGATATACTCCATACGGCCAATAGACACCAACAATCGACATTGGAACCATCAAAATGCACACAAAAACATACACTACCTTATCTAGCATATTGTAGTAGCGAGCACATATTTTGAACCAGTTTCTAAAGTATGTACCTTTTTTCTATTGTGTGTTTTGGTTTTAAGACAAATGGTCAAAAAAGGAAAAGGAGGAGGTTAATTCCCACGTAACACTGGTTTAACCGAATTACATTTGAGTGTCTGTACCAAGTCAGGTTAACCGAACCATGTGTTGTTTGTTGTTGTTATGTATTTGTTTGTATGTTTGTTTTCTCGAAGGAGTCGGATGTTTGTTTTTGATGTGTTCAGTTGTAATGTGCGGTATTTTTGGTGATTCATGGTATCCTCTTTTATGAATAATTACTCAACAATAACGGCGTAAAAGACAAAAATACTTACACAAGTACAAACGCACAAACACAAAAAAAAACAATGGTTGAAAAGTTACATCGTGTCAAAGAATGCTCGAAGTTATTGTGGAGCAGGATCTGCTTACCCTTCCGGAGCACCTGATATCACCTGATATCACCCCCGGTTTTTGGTGGTGTTCGTGTTGCTCAGTCTTCGGTTTTCTATTTGGTGTTTTGTGTACTGTTGTTTGTCTTTTGGTCTTTTTCCTTTTTTGCCATGGCGTTGTCAATTTATTTTCGACTTATGAGTTTGAGTGTCCCTTTGGTATCTTTCGCCTATCCTTTTCTGAAAACAAGCTCAACTGTTGACAGTATGCAATCTTATACTCAAACATCGTTGTATAATGGTTCAAAAACATCATCTTTTTGGATGAATATTATCAATCTATATACAGCGCGAGCAAAACCGAATACGTGCTTTGAAGAATGGACGAACATTGACAAATACGCATGTGAAATGTAAAATGTAAAATAAGTTCAGTTTGTATTTCCAAGGTAAAATTTTATTTGACGTAAAACATAAGTAAAAGGTAGGTTTCCAAATATAAACGCTAAAATAAAATAAATTAAATTGCTTTGTATATATAAATGCTAAAATGAAATATATTTAATTGCTCGCTTGAATCACATATATAAAATGTCTTTACCCCTTCATCTTATAAATAGTACCTGTGTTTTATTCATAAAAATGGTCTTCATGAATATCAAATAATACTTTCTGATTTAAGAGTTATTCACCTTTATCATGAATAACACAGACGTCTCTAATTCTCTATTATTTTCTTTCAACCATAGCGTTTCCATATATAACCAATGAAAAACTCTAAACCAGTTTTTTCGTGTTGTTTTATAATTTAGTTCCTATATCCGTTGTCTGGTATTTTTTAACTATTGCCTCATTCGTGTACAACATCAAAAGTTGCAGTGTTGCCTTGGGCTACTCGAAATCCATACGATTTGATAGTCGTAACATCCAAAACTTTTCAAAACAAGTTTACATAGGAGATTGGATGTCAAAATACTACAAGAAACGCGGAAACAATCTGCCGTAATTCAATAACTAAGGCTGGGTTTCTCAGCAATATCATTACAATATTAAACGAAAAAAGCACCACTTCTAACAATGAAATATATATACGTGTCCATTTCAAACCGTCATGGCATCTTCTTCAATTGGTTCACGTTTGTAAAACATCTGAAGTTTATTGTGTAGGACATGATCACTAACACTTAATCGTTTTGAAAGAATTAATGACCGTGAAATATGTGGCGTTTTCGCTTTCTCTGTTTGAGGTAGTGTTTCTAACGGCGCTAGTTTCCTATTCCTCCGGCCTCTGAATCCTTTAAGGTGATGGCAGTAAAACCGGTCACAGAATGGATCATCTGACCGAGTTGACGGTATTCCTTTAATTCCAATGGCTTCTGTCGAATATGCTTTAAATTTTCCTAAAGTATGCGTTTCTTTTTTCTTTGCAACATTCAGTCTTAGAGATAGAAAGGGTAATTCGTCCATATTTGGATATCTTCGTAAAATGCGTTCAAGGTCTCTTTCTACCACGTCTTTTCTGCTTTGACCGATCCTTAATGCATCATTTTTATGTTTGTATATTATTTTTTCTTGAACACGTAATTGTTTGTCTAACATTCGGTTTATCACTTTGACTTTTGACCTTGCATCAGAATCCAATTTATCATAAATAGTCGGCAAACAAGCATTGTTTATAGGAGGCGCTGCAACAGTCAATCCACCTCCCTCTTGAAATATTGCCGAATTTAGAAAAGAATCTTCCATGATTCTGCTAACAATTTTGAAACCTGCGGATTTTCATTTTGTGTTATCTAAAATCAATATTGTCATGCTAACGGTAATGATTTAGTCTCCCTTTCGCATCACATTTTATGTAAATTTGTATAAAAGACAATCTTCTGAAAAGTCAACGTATTTTATAAAAAGAAATAAGCCTTTTCACAGTTTGAAGTTTCCGTGCAAATATTGACGAACTGAGAAGATTTTGTGTTTACACTTGTTCGACCGCAGTTGGTTTATAATTACATATTTGTACGACACTATGACTGAATCAACAGAAATACATTGAATATATTTTATTAAAATCAGTGAAACGTAGGGTCGCGTTATTTCTCTAGCTTATTACGTATTGATTCTTTGTAGAGATATCTTTTAACAAGTATCATTGAATGTAAGAAATACCAAGACTTACTTTTTTAATTTGTTAAAAAGCAATTTGATGAAGATTAATGATGTAAGGAAGATTCTATAAGATTACGAAAAGATAGTTTTAAATCTTTGTTAAACATATAATATAAGAAAGGGTTTTACACTTAACGTTATGGTTACACAAATATTAAAATGTCATTGTTTTTCCAACAAATAATATGAGAAATTAAAAGTTTAAAGTGTACTAATACTAAATACAAGATGGTATGCCGAGTCATTTTGGTGAAAATTGTCAAAGCGTATAGTGAAATTAAAAGTTCAACGAGGTTATCAAATAAACGAATGTTTTTGTTTAAAAATCTCACAGGTGGTATAACGTTTTTAACTTCTGAAATATTTCATTTCATGTTTTGGACACAATACAGCATATTTCAAAGGGGCCACATCAGATCGAAGAAAAAGGCGTTTAAAAAGAGCAGTGAGTTGCGTATATGAGAAATTAAAACGAAAAATCTTTAATCTCCATCAACACAAATGTTTAATTCACAGCATAAATGTCCCCAGCATCGATATATAATTGTTTAAGTTGAGAAATCCTATCTAATTACAATTTAAATACCGATATTAAAGAACTGATATTGATTTAAAATGTGTTAAAAAATTCAACAAGCAATTTATACCATTATTAAGTATTTCAACGAAACATGCAAATCTATTCATATAAAATACATTTATGGATATTTGAACAAAAAATTACGAGTTAAGTCTGGTGCAGAATTTTCACTGCATGGTGCACTCACTTAAATCTTTGTTTAAGACCATTGTAGATAGGAAACGCATAGAATAAGTTGCTTCATTCAATCTTTGTTTATATTTTTGGCGCCATTCAATAAACCGAATTGTCCCAGTTAGGAATTTGACAGTCGTCGTTGATTTGTTCATTTGATTGAACCTGTTTTTTGTGAATAACTGTGAGGGTGGTGGGGGCGGAATTTCGTATTATTTTTTAATCTTTGGAATCTGGTAACCATTCACCTCTTTTAATTCATATTTAGTTAAATCTTGACTCGCTTCCTCGTTGACACAAAACTAATGTAATTTTACTAGTGATTACTGGGTATATCTTCCCATAGATTTGAACAAATGTCTTACATAATGTATTGCTCCCAAAGTGACGGGTTCAATGTCATCTTTGGATAAGATAGGTTTAACAAACGTCCTCTATTAGGATCTAGTCAGTATACACAGTTTCATCTAAGTATATGGCTAATGA